GACTGGGATGATGGTGGCAGTCTTCAGGCAGGTGGGAACTGTCTCCAAGGAGCAGAAGAAGGTTAATAATTTAAAAAAAAACAGATTAAACTGTGTTCTCAGTTAAACTTGGGAAGGTGCATCGTCCGCTCCAGTCACTGTGCATGTGCTGGTCGTCAGATTGTGCGTGCAGCTCTCGTGCTGAGAGCAGTTTTACTTGTTTGTCTTCAAAGCTGCAGCTAATCTTCTGTTTGTCTTTGGTAAATCAGGCAAAGACGCTAATAGACTGACAACGGCAGCTCGGAGTAACACGCTGCAGCTGGCTTTGATTAATAATGAAGTCAACGCAGGTTCTCTGTGCAGATCGTCTCTGTAACAGACCTTCAAGTCGCCTCTGGCCACTAACGGGACAGCAAGCAGAGCAACAGCTTACACTCGTGCACGGAGCACAACAGGAATGAAGGTCCCCGTTGGGATGTTCAGTGTGAGGTTCAGATCAGGACGCTGATCCAAACTGCAGCTGAATGCTGAAGCGATGACAAAGTGCCCTGAGCTGTGATGAGGCGCAAATCTAAAAATGTTTCCTGGCTGCTGGAAGTTTCTCTTTACAAACTGTCAGTATTTAAACATTTCTACGTGGAGGGCAATGTGATCCAAATCTGACCTGGAGATGATCATTCATGCTTTTATCTCTTCTTGTTTAGATTACTTTTTACTTGTTTTAATAAATCTGCTGTCGCTCGTCTCCAGCTGGTCCAGAACGCTGCTGCGAGGCTCTTAACAGGAACTAACAGAAGGTCTCGCATCACACCGGTTTGATCTTCTCTTCACTGGTTACCTGTTAACTTCAGAATTCATTTTAACATTTTGGTCTTGATTTTTTTTAGAGTTTTAGATGGAAGCCCCCGCCCCAAAAATACATCACAGAAATACTCATCCCTAATTCTTCAGCCCACGCCCTTCAGTCTTCAGCGCTGAACCTCCTAAAGGTCCCTATGACCCGGTTTAAAACTCAGGGTGACTGATCCTTTCAGGCCGTAGCCCCCAGGGTGTGAAATACCCTGCCCCCGTCTCTTCATGTGGCTGTCACTGTTGATTCTTTAAAATTCATTTTAATCAGCTGTTCTTATTGTTTTTATCAGCACTAAAAAAGTTAAATCTGGTCCTCTGGACACAAATAAAAATAAAAAAAGCAAAACAACAACAACAACAACAACAACAACAAAATGTAGAAACGTTTCGTCTCTCATCCGAAAGACTTCCTCAGTCTGAGGTGCTGTATTCAGCTCAGTCTTATAAATAACACCTTCTCAGAGTGGATCAACCAGTTGATATATGCTATATGAAAAACAAAGAGTCACTAATCTGGGCGTGATAATGGACCCTTCCCTGAAGCTTAACAATCATGTAAACATGATCGTTAAATCCTGCTTCTTCCATCTGAGGCGGCTGTCTAAACTGAAGCCCATATTGTCCAAAAAGAACCTGGAGACAGTAATACATGCATTCATTACATCCAGGCTTGATTACTGCAATTCACTCTTGTTTGGTACCAGTCAGACCTCCATTGCACGACTACAACTGGTCCAGAATTCAGCAGCCCGATTTTTAACCAGTACAGGCAAAAGAGAGCACATTACACCTGTTTTGGCCTCACTGCACTGGTTACCGGTTCACTTTCGAATCCAGTTCACAATACTACTGTATGTCTACAAATCACTGAACAGTCCCCCCCCAATCTCTCAGATCTGTTACAACCGTATGTCCCACCACGAGGTCAGCGGACCAGTTGCTCCTCACAGTTCCAGGAACTCGTCTTAAGTGCAGAGGTGACAGGGCCTTCTCTGTAGCAGGACCAAGACTTTGGAACGAGTTACCTCTGTTTGTCAGACAGGCCCCCTCCCTCTCGGTTTTCAAGTCCTGTTTAAAAACTCACTACTATTCAGTAGCTTTCAACACCAGATGATCTGTGTTTTGATCCTGTATGCTCCACACTGGTTTGTCGTCATTATCTGCATCGTTTTTTGTCTATATTCTGATTTACTTCATTTTGTATTTTGCTTTGTGTGTTGCCTGTTGTTCTGTCTGTACAGCACTTTGGTTGGCCTTGTTGCTGTTTTAAGTGCTCTATAAATAAAGTGGTATGGTATATAAATAAATTTACTTTCTTACTTAAATAAGTGTTTGAATTCTTAATGATTTGCATCTTGGCTTCTTATGGAGACTTTTCTTTTCTAATTCTCCCTGTAACCCAGTGACAAAGACTAAACATAACATTAAACTGAAAGATCAGATCATTTAAAGAGGAGTTCAGCGGACAATTAATAAATAATTAACATCTTACCTATAGCTCTCTGAACATCCTCAGTTTTGAAGGAACACAGTTTAATTTTGAGCAGCCAGTGTCTAGTCTGGATGGGTCAATGAAATAAGTGGATTTCTGCCACCTTAAAACAACTCCAGTCTTGTCACAGTGCTTCATGACAATGTCACTATATAAAACATTATAGTGTCATCTGCATATTCTGCGTCATCTATTCTGCATTTCATTCAGGCAGAAAGTTTAGGACGTTCCTGTAGGAAGTGCTGCAGATTAAACAAAAGTGCTACAGTTAGCTGCTGCTGCTGCTTCTGATTTACAAACCCACAAAAAACAAACAACTCTGTCAATAGAGATTAATAGCTATCGACAGCAGGTAAGATATTTATTGTTCATAACCTTTCCACTTAGCCCTACTTTAAAAGATATGAATTATTGTTTTAATCCAGTGATTATATATCAGTAAAGCGTGTATTCAGAAACAGAACAAAGGAATAAAAAAAGCTGAGATTATTTAGCAGTTAGAAGCTGGTGAGCAGGAATACAAAATGTTGGTGTTTATTGTTACATAAAGTGTTACAAAAAGTTGCCTCAGAATATCTCTGACTAATCGCTGAGGATGTGTCACCATTTCAAACCATCTGACAATAATTTTGAGACATTCCCAACACATGAGAGCAGGAACATGACTCAGCCCGAGCCCAACGAGCAATTAATGTCAAGCTTCTCCGTGAAGTTTTACAAATACGTGACGCATAAAGTCCTTTTCTCCTTCGTTCACATGATGAATTGTTGCCATGCAAACTGCCAGACATTCATGTTACAGTGTGTGTTGTGTGCGTGTGAGAAAAACCTACAAAGTCCGAGAGGTTTGGAAAGAAGCCGTGCAGTCGGAGGTTTTTAACGAGGAGGAGGAAGAGCGGGAGAGTTTAGGGACACGAGCCCCAGAAGACGAAGTAAAGGGGACGATGAAAGATGGCCTGCTGTGACTGCATGAACCTTCATTAACCTACACACCCCAAATGTTCATTGTATGACACAGTGAGACATTTAGTGAAGTGATTAAACTTGGCGCTGTCGCATGGAGAAAATACAACGAAAGGAGCTGAACGTTGTATTTTTGTATACCTTTTATGCATTAGGCACATGAGAGCAGAACAATAAGCTTTAAATAATCTAAACATTTGCCAAGTTGGCTCCATAAAACTTTAAAACATTAAAAAATTAAAAGCAGACCATACCATTTTCTGTCAATGTTAATGTATACAGTAATGTTATTTAAAGAGTGTTTTATGGTATTGGAAAGTTATAGATTACTCCTGTAAATGATGGAAATGAATGTAGTACAAGTAGTAGTTTATTTTAGTGTGTGTATATATATATAT